TTATTCATAGATGTCTGATGACCACAGCCTCAGGAGCTTGCGAGCTGAAAAGTGTCGTAGTAACCTCTGGTTTTAAATGAACTATCATCAAGCATTTTCACTGGACACTAGTAATTAGTGTGACGTATCCAGTCCTTTCTTTGGTGCAGACTGAATTCTATCAGTCAGATTTGCAATGTGGCCACCATTCTAGGTAACTCACCATCACGGTGCACATTGATTTGATGGTATTAGATAGCTGGAGGCAATCGGAAGGAAGCCTTGGACCTAGGTTTCGTGCTAGTTGGCACTCGTCAGTAAGGCGCATCTGCAGCCTTGAAGGAACTCATATCCCATCTGAGATTCGAATCCGCGTCACCCAGTGCTGCAGTCAGTGGTAACGTCTGTGGTGTGAGTTCCTTCAAATTACCTCCAACTATCTAATATCAAGCATGTTTTGCGATTCAACAGTCTTATTTCAGACGTGTGATCTTGCGTAAAAATCACTTTTATCTCTGAAGATTGCATACTTACACTCCATAAGGTTCAGTGAGTCAGTTGAGTGTTAAGAGGAACGGTTGTATAGTTCGAAAGTAGTAAGGACAATACTTTGTGTGTGTGTGTGTGCATGAGACGTAGTAATGATTGGTTCAGTTTTGATAGAGGGACAAACATATGCACCAAGGACAATAGGCTTTCAGTCACTTGTTCAACCTACCATAATTTACTAGCTTTTCATTTCTAAATCTACTTTGGAAGGTGACTGCCCCTTACTACAGCAAAACACCCATATGCAGCCGTGGAAAGACGGTAGCTGGAGTAGTTTCTCATGTACCAGGCTACGAGGTATCTAGGCTGGAGGTAGCAGCGGATTCTGAAACGTTATTGACACTGGACATGTGTCGACTCCAACTTCCCCTTCTTCGGCACCAAGATACAGCCTTTAGTAGACTTTGCCCAACGACAATAACACTATTCAATCCTATATTAGTTAGTTCATTATAGTACGTCTGATAGGATTATGAACAGACGCGTTCGAAAGGTTATTCATTATTTGACCTATATAGTCAGAATTAAATGAAATCACATACCACTTGGGTCCAGATTTTACATACATATATACAGATCAGATTGTCTACGGAACATGACATTATTTGTCCCGAAGCGTAATCCTATCTTTACTTTACTGTAAAGATAAGTATATACTATAGTTTATCGTCAGAAATATGTTGGTAGATCGCTGGAGAATCTCAGCAGCTTCGAATGAATGTGTTCTACTAAAAATTACTGTAGAATAGAAGTTAACTATCGTGTTTACAATCAAGATAATCAGTAGGTTATAAAGTCTTAACAAGAAATGAAGGGTTGAGTTCCAAAAAGAGTTATAACCAATCAGACCAAACTTTAAGATATCCTAACTGGGATTTTCTCAGTAGTATTTACAAATAACACTTCTATGTGGCTTCCTAATGAACTTACAGTTTATTCAAAAAAACGTTTTTCAGTACTGAAGATGAAATTTACTCAATTCTTCTAAATCATCACTCAATGCATATATGCAGTTAACATTTACGTATATATGAGTCAAATTGTCTATGGCTGTATGGAGTCCCTCTTAAATATTGTGTCGAACTACGTTCTGGAGGAGTGGGGTGTCGTTACTCATCACAGTGTAAACTGTGTGCCAGAAATGCGAATAAGGAATATAGGTAGAGGCCATGAGATAATCTTAATCTGATATCGCAGACAAAAGCGGCTTAACAGATAAAGGCAGCGATAATGTGTAATAGTGAGAATTTCTTTAGAGTCATGGACGTATAAGAGTTAAGCGAAACTAAGACCTTGGGAAGGTAGAGCTGCAATCTATCCGATGAGCAGACAGTTGTATGGACATAAAAACTGCTTTAACTAGCATCTAGCAACATTTACTGTTCGATTCCCAACTGTCCAGGGATTGGAATAGTCTGTAGGGAAACTTTCTAAGATTAAGTAACCTTAAACAGAGGTAGCAAGACTTGATATCCTAGCAGTTAGGTTATTAGGCAAGGTATGAGAGTCAGAAAATCTCGTTGATCGGCCTTAATTGCAAGTCATCTCACTTTTTGGGGAATTATCCCGCTTACAGTAACCACAAAAGAACTAGGCTCCCGCAAAACAGTCTTAATCACTGTGTTCACATTCAGGTGTTGCATATTGGAAATGTTGACAACATAATTCTAGGATCATTTGTATCGATATGATTTATTTGTTCATGTAACTGCAGTAACTACCTCTCAAGAAGAAACGCAAAGTTTCAAAAAGACTTTAGAGTTTGACGGTACAGACGTTCGCGAACAACACGGAGTATATTAACGCACGATCTTATACCAACAACTTCTATCTTATTTGTTTCTCGTGTACCAGAGGCAAAGCAAAACACCACAATTGATTGTCCGTATTACGAGATATATTTCGGAACCAAATCGCAGATTGAAGCGGAAGCTAAGCTAGCTAGTTATCGTGCACGAAAGTGACAAGACGAAATACCAAATGGCGGGGATGCTTGACGGGAAGCCTTCAGCTAAACAAGTCGACTTAAGCTCTAAGGGTCAGCATCTAATGTTCACTGATGATTCCTATGGTAACGATGTAATTCTTCTCTCAGACATAATCTATTCCTATGGTCAATAATTTTGGAGAATTATTTACCGCTACAAGACATTTCCTCATGAAGCTAAAAACATAACGTAGAATTTCATGAGGTTGTTTATACTAGATCTCAGACAATTACGGTTTATATCCCAAACAATCAGCCACTGTTTTTTCCATTATATTTCTTCAGATATATCTGTCTATAAAAATAACAACTTTTGCCAATGACGTTTCAGCTGCATTAAGCGACAAAAATATTTCTCAAAACCTAAAATTTGATGGTTAGGAAATCCTTACGATAATAAATCGTCCGAGGTAGAAATTATGCCTGCCCCAAGTAAATACTATAAGAACTATGAATTGATAGCATTGGTAACGTGTATTCCAATCACTACGCTATAAATCCTGAGACTTGGTTGGCGATAGATAAACTCAAGGAGACTGTGCACTGAACATTCACAAAGCTCATTTCTATAATTCTCATCAGAAGACGACTTAGGTTATTCCTGTTTGCATTAAGCATCCCGAAAGCATAATGTATTCGCATACAAAACGACACAGTATTACAAATCTGGGGACCGGCAAATCCAAAACTCAACAACTATGTCAGTCAGCACATAGAGGACATTCCCTACATTGGTTCCAGACACACAGCAGGCAGTAGGTGGAGATATATAACTAATTCCTCGTCTTCGTTATTCCGGGAGATAAATTACAAGCTACAAGTTTTACAAAACATTATTTAGCCTCCAACAAAGCCATTTTGTCATAAATCAAGTTTATTTTGAAAGAGATACTTGTACTCAGACAACCGGTTACAATTTGTGCAACGTGATTCCTTTATTCAATGAAGTCTTAGAAAAGAGACTAGCTAGAAACTTTTCTAACCATATATACATCAGTAATCAACTATGCACTATAGATAGGTAGTCCTACAATTTCGATATGTTTAAATCAAGAAAGGTAGAATATCAATGATAGTGTTACAATAAGACAGAGAATTCGATAGTCAACAATTGTGCGCCTTAAGTTAAGGACGCATTACTGCATAACAAAAACGTATTTGATTACAGGACTTCATCATCAGTTAGAGAACTATTGGAAAACCTGTAAGGAGTACTGGACAGCTGTCTCGTTAGCCTAGTTTGTGACTCTCCAGAAGTAGTACGCACCTACCATATGGAGTTCGAACCCAGGACCTTCTGTTTACAAGGCGAGCTCGTAGACCAATTGCCCATGAATCCCAACTTCTGTCAATTCACGACAACATAGCGCGTCCGCTAGCCAATGTCTTCAGTGAGTATTTGTCCTCACACTTTTTTTACTTATCACTATTTCCTAAAGAAGTGCGTCGGTGGCATAGCGGTTAAAACGCTTGCTGACCACGCATATGGCTCGGGGTTCGATCCCCGGCCACAGACGCACTCCTTTACCTCGCCAAGCCAGAAATAGTGCTGGTAAAGAGGAAATATTGGGCATGCGGCTAGCAACATTGCTACAGAAACTTCAAGCCACTAGCTTGAAGCCCTATATTCCACTGGGGAACGTGGAGGGAGAAATAAAAATTGCCTAAAGAAAGTTTTCAACGGTTTCACGATATTGTTTCATTCGTTAGAGCTTACGCAAGTAGGAATTTCTATGGAGTACTACACACACACAACGAATAGCTGGTACAATCTTACACTTAATCTGTAACTGGCACAAGAAACCTAAGTCACCTATAGTACGAATGCAACAACTAATCCTGGTAACAAGCGAATACTCTTCGCACAACAAAGTTGTTTCCCTATTGATGCTCCTATCTATAAATGTATTTCGGATGTCTAATTTAGTAACAATAAGAAAAGACTATTCGTAAATTTGCACAGTCCTACAGCAAAAACGTCATCAAGAACCACAGTATACAATCTTAAATTATCGCTCATGCTCAGCTAGGTGAATGGGGATCTAGGTGTTGTGTGTTCCCTGAGCTGGAAGGTTTTAATTTTAAATGTTTTCACACTGATATTATATTGTCTCGAAGGACTGCGAAATTTTCACAATTCGACCGTTCACAGCTCCAAGAACACAACAACCGGATTACACTTTTGCGTTGGCTACACATACAAGGAACAATCTCAGGTCAAGTATAAAATCACGTCGAAAACAACACTACCAATCCTCATAACCCACTTCAAAACATCAAGAAATAAAGCATGACGTATAAAACATATTATATGCTTGAAGAATATAAAATGTGTACAATTATAAAAGGATATTATAACAGCTTCAAAACCACATAAAATCATTACTTGTCTATGTTTAACGGATCCACACGTTATAATATTACGGGATAAGAAAGTCAAGTTCATTAGCGTATAACTTAGGAATAACTTTGAAATGGTTGATAGTCAATCCCCAATAGATGTACCTCGGGTTCTGGATCTTCGGATAGGCACAGGAATCATTGAATTCTCACTAGTTATGATTTCAGCATGCTTCATACACAAGTTTTTATTTGTCAACATGTTGTCTGAGCTTTCAGTCTTCACAGTTAGTTTAGATAATGAATCTGTAATGTCTGTTGTCTTACAACTTTGTAAAGTAGGATGTGTAAAACTGAAGGTACTGAACAGGGAATCCAGTTTCTCTTTAGTATATCCATCTTTAATCAACGATGAAGGGATACTTTCGAGAGAAGTTACATCACCATCCCCGTTAACTTCATTGGTATTTATTTGTGACTTTTTCGATAACTTAACTGGCTTTATAGGACTAAATGCTCCAGATAATAGTTGTGCGTCAGTGGAACATATTCTAGTCTTTTCATACTTCGATTCTCTGTGTTGCAGTTCTGAAGTTGAATATGGTGGACGTAAAAGACGAGACTCTGCTTTACACCAGTCAACAGGTTTTAAAAATCTTAATTCTTTAACACCTTTTAGATAAGGACGCTGTGTATGCTGACGTTGTAGACATGCGCTGAAAAATGATTGAAGAGGTTTTGAAAGACGTTTTAATCCACGTATACTGTATGTACCCATACGAGCCTTTCGAAAGGCTTCAGCAGTATTTTCAGCTTCTGAGCGTATAGGACCTGTAATCATCTCCGCTGTAAGAACACCCAAACTCCAAGTATCCGATCGCATATCTATAATTTCACCACGTGCAACTTCTGGAGCCATAAATAATGGCGTTCCAGTAAAATCATCCAGTGTAGGCTTACCATTTTGAGAAAGATCATAAGATCGATCCAAATCAGAAACAAACACATGACCATCTGGATAAAATAAAATGTTTTCAGGTTTGACATCCAAATGAACAATATTCAAGGAATGGAGATGTTCTAGACCACATATAATTTCCGCAATGTAAAATCTTGCATTGGTCTCAGAAAGACAGCCTACATGGCATAACAAATCAAAAGATCGCAGCCTGACCCTTCCCGAAGAACAAACGCCGACACATAATTTTTCCATATGCCATAGTACAACATAGGAAGAAAAGGACTTTGTAAATCAGCTAACGCTAATCGTTCCAAAATCTTTCTTTCTCTCAAAACACATCGAATTGAAGAGTCACTTTCCAGGAAAAACGTTTCAAAGCATATTTTGAATTGATATCCGAACCAGTTGTCTTTCGAACTTCATAAACGACTGAGTAGCATCCACGACCAATAAATCGTTCCACACTGAAATCAGATTGGGAAGGGATAGAATCCATCATCGCCATACGTAGTGAAACAAAGCAATGTGACAATCAGATTTATTCACTGACCTTATAAAGCAGTCAGACAACAACAAATTTTCTGATTGGTTAAAATCATGTGTGTCTATCTTCCTTCCGTCTTATGATTGGTCGATTCAGTGCTAGAAATTTCAGGCACGCTAAACTTGATGTTTAGAAGCGTGACATATATATGTAGCCTTAGTCGGAATATACCCGGCGTGTTGTTTGCCAAAAAATGTTTTTTGTTTTGTCTGAATTATTTCCCAATTTTATTATTTAATTTTAGAAATCATAAATGGTAAATTGTTATCTGATTCACAACAAATCATCTGATGTTTGATTTCGAAAAATTAGCTCCTTCATCATTTTAAAAGATGGAACAAGAAGAACGAAGTTAGCTATACCACTAGTTAAAGTCCATAAAAAATGTAAATAATTTCAAATTATCATGAAATCCTTCACCTAAGTAACAACTAATCACTGTTCCTTTACATTACACCATTACTAAAAGTACAGCGAAATGTATCTTATGCTATTAAAATCTCACCCATTTATTGAATGGTGTTCTGTTTATATATTCTACTGAAACGATGGGCACTAGGTTCCAGCCTCTGTGGGAACATCATCACTCACTGGGGGATGCAGGTACATCCAGATGACGAGTCCTAAATCGTTCTAAATAGTCTTAAATGTACTTCAGCCAATTCAATAAATTTCGCATAAAAATTTAAAAATCCCTTGAATGTTATACCTTGATAATTTATATTCGTGCGTCGGTGGCACAGCGATTAGGACGCTCGCCGACCATGCAAATGGTCCGGGGTTCGAACCCCGGCCACAGACACACTCCTTTACCTCACTAAGCTAGAAATAATGCTGGTAAAGAGGAAAGGGTGGGCATGAGGCTAGCTAGCTACCCCATCCTGTAAATATAAACACTGCTACAGAAACTTCAAGCTCCTAGCTTGAAGCCCTATGTTCCAGTGGGAACGTGAAGGAAAAATTATTCATTATTAGTTTATATCCTGAAAGTTCAATGTAGATTAAGTTACGAATCAATTCCAGTCAGAGATCAAGGGGAAATGAACTCTCCTGCAATATCAAGGGTTCGAACCCAGGACTTTCAGGTTGTGAGGCAAACCTCGTTGACTGTTTAGCTACTTCACTTGAAATTCAGTAACTCCTTCATTCTATCTTCTGCTTTCGATTCGTGATACTGTGCTTTCCATTACAACCTGATTACCAACAATCTCTAACTGGTGCACATAATCAGTAGCAATACGAAGGACGACAGAAGCCTAATTTGTATGTGCACACGGATTTCATAGACCACCCTATATGGCCGTGGTAATTTATTGTTTCTTTACTTACCATGCTATTTGTTTGTTTCATCCCCTAAACATCTTTAAAAATTGTTCATTTTCTCAACACTTTACACTCTCACTTCTATTTATCATATTGTAATCTTGTTTCTTAATCTATCCCTCACTTTTCATATAACCGGTTGCCTTTATTAGTTTGGATAAAGAAAAAACCGAATATATTTGCAGGGTAATACAACCTCGTCGTATCTCGTGGATTCTCTTCAACTGAGTACATTCTAAATAAATCAATAATATTTTATTGAATTCTAGATTTTCCCGTCGATTGATTGGACTGAAGTGCTCGGTCTCACGTTGTCATGTCGGCTTCGTGTGCAGATGCTTCCACAATTTGTGGGCATGTAATTCGAATTTAATTGGTGAATGGTGACTAGCAGTGGAATCCACGACGCTCACTTGTCCTATTTGAGACTCGTCAGCCGGATTTAGCTGCACTCCCCAGTGAGTGATGATGTACCCACCGAGGGTAGAACCAAGTGCCCATAGTTTACAACACCAGCCAAATCGTAATCCACTAGACCATTTGCGCCACAACAGCCACCTCTTGTGTTGGGTTCGAACCTCGGTAGGAAGATCATCACTCAGTGGGGAATGCAGGTACATCCAGAAGCTGGCGAGTCCCAAATAGGACGAAATGCGCATTATCCAGGATTCCATTGCTAGTCACAATCAACCAACTGAATTCAATTATATGTTACAAAATGGTGTCTGAACATACTATTTTTCACAATGATTTCACGTTACAGATATACAGACTATAAGCAAGTATTGTTTTTGTAGGGATTTTGTTTGATTACATGGAGGATTTCATCATGAGCTGACATCAGTTAGTGGGAAACCGTGACCAGTAGGGTACAGCAGGTTAAAGATGAGACAGTAAGTCATTGAAGAAGGCATTGTGAAATGATCGCGCGATGTCGTGAATTGGCAGAATTCAGAGACTATAAGCAACATAATTTCAAAGATGATGTAATTAGACAATTATTTAGTGTTAAATAAAGTAACTATTTACACAGTAATTAGATTAGGAAGTAGAGTTGAGAAATTCTCTTGGAAACAAGGATGTACTAGAGACAAAATACAAGATAGAACAAAAGAGTTAACTTATACATATTATGGCGAAGATTTCAAGAAGGTGGTGGTGGAGGTGAATAGTGAAGTAAAATTATAAAATAGATAAAATAATTCAATTAATTTAGTAGATTTGGAAGCTTAATAGTGAGTTCAACTCAGTCAGTGAATGAAAAACAAAATCAAGATTGAATGGAATGTCACGTATGCAACAGAACAAAATGGCAAAGCACACGAAGTGAACAATGCAATTATGGTTAGCACGGTAGTGAGAGATTAGTCACGCTATCATTTTGTGTACAGAGGTAGGATCGAAGTGGTTTGGTAACACTGAGGCCAAATTAACTATGGTTTTCTTTGTGTATTGATTATTTTGATAGCCTGACTAATTTCCACTGAATGTCCAGTGTCAATTAGGTGTCTGGCGGTTGAGCTTGAGAGTAATTTGTTGCCTTGTAAAAGGTGATTAGCAGGGATATACTCAGAGAATCTAGTAGGTGCTCTACCTCAGTCTTTCCTATGTACTTTCTTCCGCAAGTGCAGGTGAATTGGTAAATGCAGTTGCAGCTGACATGAATAGGGTACTGATCTACTTACTGACTAGGTAAATGAGCATACTGTGTTGTAGATTGGAATGTGTCTAGCGCTGTGGGAAATGTCCTTTTCAATTCACCTTTAATTCTGTTTTCCGTTCTAGTACATACTTCTTCGCCTTTATACGCTAGACAGATAACAACTGGTTTCTTTTCAACTATTTCAGGCTTCAGTTCTTGGTGGTTTTTCCTTCCCATATTTTGATATGAACTTCCGAGGTTCTTTACGATGACTGCAAGTTCCTCTTCGGCCTTATCTTTATTTTATTTTTTTTATTTTTGATTACAGCTTGATTCCACACCGTATTTCTGATACAAGTATGGAATTTTCAGCGTGGATATCGGTAGCCTAAATTTCGCAGGCCGACCATAGATATCAGGTGTGCGTCGGCGTGGGCTCGAACAATGCCTTAGATCTTGTTCAGAGTGTATTCAACAGGTTCCGTTAGTAGCTGGTCAGGTAGAAACCTTTTTCGTCTCAAGTGAACTCATCCCCCTCCCCCACTTAGTCACAAGGGTGTTTCCACTGAATATGGGTAATCTTATGGAAACAGCAATGAATTCAACACAATTAACCGACTTTTTTTTAACTTAGAAACAGTGGATTTCACAGGTATGTGAATTGACTGATAGTAGTAGTATAGTAATGGCAGGTTGTGTCAGAAGTTGCTACTGGATAGAATTCGACTCTAATCTATACAAAGCTAGAAGAAAAAAAGACGACCTCCACTGTGTGATCTAAAGTGAATCTTCTGATAACAGTCATACAAATTTTTAAAACAATTAGTCCCCTTTATGAATTTAGGCTTTTTATGCAGCTAATATCATAATAATTGAGAATTTGAAGCCAATATATCCACCTTAGCCTTTTGAACATGCGAAAAATGATGTCACATCCCACTGTATTTACCAATTTGAATGTTCGTTTGAACACATACATACTTGGGGAAGACTCATCGATTTCTGTGAGTAAGGGCTGGCTTCAAAACATATTCCTAAATGGCTCCAGAAGCAAATAGAATCTTCAGAACCCATTAATGGTGGGGACAAGAGACCTAGCTCGTCTATTGCGAAACATAGTATATAGACAGAACATAAATTGACGTTAACAGATCTATCTATAAAACGTGTTTCGGGCGTATCCTAAAGTTTGTGGTAGCCCTAGCTGGCAATTAGAAAGTTTAAACCACCTTTATGCGTTCAAAAACAACTGATCATCACACTGAACTTTCCTTGGTAAACTTTGTTTTGATACCAGTCAGCGTAGATGTACTATTACCTCTGTTATTTGGTTAAGTGGTCTTCATTGTTATTTTGACCTTGAATATGTCCTGTAGGTATGACCTAGGTCTATTTTCTGACGTCTTAACTCTATTAATTTCATATATATTCCTATGACAAGTCTGTGTGTGATCAGATTGTTCGAAATGTGTTGCGCAAATACATTACACGATTCAAACAAATTACGTTTTCTTATTGCTTTATGTAAAAGTAAAATTAAATAAAAGTGGTGACATCAGCTGACATCAGGTAGAGAGCCATTGGAAAACCTGGGAGTACTGGACAGCTGTTACGTCCTAGTTTGGGACTCTTCAGCGGTATGTACCCACCGGAGTTCGAACTCAGGACCTTCTGGTTACAAGGCTAGAGAGCTAGTAGACCATTGAGCCACTGGGACCTGATATCTATGGTCGGCCTGCAAAA